GAGCAGGGTACACAGAAGGGGTGCACCCCTCCAGTCCTCAAGGTGGCAGTCCTGAGTGCCACCCACTAGTGGGGTGGGGAGGGGACTTGGAGGGAACAGGAACCTAAGAACCGATTGTGACTCTCACTCTTTCTCTCCCCTAGGATGCTAGTGACCTACTGAACAGGTATGAGCTATCCCATCTCCCTTCCTACATGTGCTTCCACACACAAACCCACAGGAACCTAGATGTGTGAGTGGGCTTTCTCAAGGTCAAGGAGTTCCACTGTTCCTTTAACCTGCATCTTCATGCTACATGGACAGTGGAAGAGTCAACAGAATATGCTAAAGGATTTTTTGTTTCTAGGAGCGCTCCAGAGCAATTAGAGGCTATTTATCCCAACTTAGAGAAAAGAATCAACGAATCACTTATCCAGCCATCCTCAGTGGCTCTGACCTCTTCATCCCTGGGCCATCTCATCTCAGACTCACCTCACCCTCCTGGCTCTCCTTCCCCCAACCTGTCCAGCCTCCCATTAGGTCTGCCCAGTGGCCCCTCAGACTTGCCATCTCCTGAACATGACCTCCATTCCTCGTCGCTAGAGCTGCGACCTGATGCCTGACCCTCGGACCCGTGGACAATAGTCACAGCCTCTCTCCTGAACCAGGCTTGTACTCTGGCTCCTACTGTAGTGGTCAGGATCCAAGACCTCTGTTTTCCTGTGAACTGATGGTAGCATCCATCTCTTACCATCTCATATTGAAACGGGAGCATCCAGACATCTGGATGGTACCACAATGGTGAGGCCACCTCTGCATGTGGAGCCCGCACATCTGTTGGAAGAAACATTCCTTCTGAGCTCCTGTAACACCTGGTGTCTGCACCACTCGCCTGGCACTTTGATTGTTTTTGTGATGGACAGACTCTACAGTGACCTCTCATGACTCTCCCTTCGTGGTGTTCATACCCTTGTGTGATCCCTTCTCCCTGAGTGTGAGCAGAACCTGTGACTTGCTTCTAATCAACAGAATATGGCAAAGGGGATGGGCTGGCACTTCACGGACTGCCTTACACAAATGGGATGCCTCCTTGTTAACACGCTCACTCTTGAGATTCTTCTTGCTGAATTGATGATGTGAGTGACTCTGCGGCCAGTAGGCAGCCTCCAGGAGCTGAGAGCAGCCTCCAGCCTTCAGCCAACAGGAAGCAGAGGCCCTCAGTCTTGCAGCTGCAAGAAAATTAATTCTGCCAACTGCCTAAATGAACTTGGTTGTGGATTTTTCTCCAGTCGAGCCTCCAGAGGAGAACCCAGCCCAGCTGACACCTTGATTGCAGCCTCATGAGACCCCAAGCAGAGAACCCAAACTTCTGATCCACAGAAACGGTGAGGTAATAGATGTCACAGAAACTATAATATAATAAATACAGATCAATGAATAGCACCTTTGTATATCAATTATTTGTGCATCACTTCTTTGGGTGAGTAATAACAGTTACCCAACCTGCATCTGTCTCACTTGTCTGGTGTATAAAATGGGACTATTAATAATACCTACCTCATCGGGTTGTTGTGATCATTAATTGAGTTAATATATAAAAAATATTTATTTACAGTGACTGGTCAGAGTGAGCTCTGTATGTGTTTGTTATTATTACTAACATTTTTTAAATCTTCAGTTCTTTCTTTGGGAACTACTTGTGTCCCCCCCACCAACCTCACCATAGCTTCCCATGAAGCTTTGTTAGTGGTGGAAAAGTCGCATTTTCCTTATTTACATGTCCGATCTTATAATACACTTATAATACACTTTCCTATTATTTGAACTAACTTGAGTGAGTTGTCATTCCTTTTAATAGAAAGAGCTGCTACAGTGTAAAAAAATCACGTAAACGTGTGGATGTCCCAACAAGTGTGCACAATCCTTTGGGGTGTTGGAGAGGGTGATGGGGAGCTTGGGGCTCTGGACTCCATCACTCCCGGAGGAGGGAACCTTGAGACCAGACTGTGACAAGCAGAGCGTGGAGGCTCGTGGAGCTACCTTATCTTGAAGTCACCGTGTTTTAGGATCGATCCACTTCCTCTGCACTGAGTCCACACTCCAAACAAATGAACTTCAATTACCCTGCAAGTGCTGATAGACCAACATGAGTATTTTCACTCACTAGCAGTTTTATTCTCAGTGTAAGAAATATAAATTGTCTTGCTGAATCCAAGTCCCTTGTTGAGAGCATGCCCAATAATAAAATATTCACACCTACCGGGGGACCCATTTCTGAACAAGGTAGCCTGGTGGCTAAGAGCTCTTGAGTCTGACATAGATCAAAATCCTGGGTGCATGATTTTGGCTGAGCAAGTACACAAAATTCACCAGGCCTCAGCTTTTTTAACTTTAAAAGGTAGATAATAATCGGAGCTACCTGGCAGGGTTACTAAGATTAAGTGACATAATACATGCAAAGTCTTTCAACAGGCCAGAATCTCTCTTTAAGTTCTAATATATATATATAATTTTAACTGGAGGATAATTGCTTTACAATGCTATCTTGTTTGTTTACAATGGGATCTTCATACATTTACTCTAGAGGCTAATAGTCATTTTTAAAAACACAACTAAAGCCAGTGAAAAATAAACAGAAAAAGACAATCCACTTTTTGGCGGAATCTCAGGTCTGGGTATTGCGGTATGTTTTACCATTATATAAGGACTTGAATGTGCCTTTTTTTTTTTTTTTGACTACACATTTTACATGCAATACTGAACACTCCCAGAAAAACCAATTGTACCTTCATTTTCCAGTTCCTCACTCCTGATCTCCCCATGTTTTCTACTTGCTAAACTGAGGGCTTCCCTCATAGCTCAGCCCATAAAGAATCTGTCTGCAATGCAGGAGACCTGGGTTCAATTCCTGGGTCGGGAAGATCCCCTGGAGAAGGAATGGCAACCCACACCAGTATCTTGCCTGGAGAATCCCAGGGACAGAGGAGCCTGGCAGACTACAGCCCCTGGGGTGTCAAGAGTAGAACACAGCTTAGCGACTAAACCACCACTAAACTGAGGATAAACAACAGGGAATTCCCTGGCAGTCCTGTGGTTAGGATGTCAGCTTTCACTGCCGTGGGCCAGGGTTCAATCCCCGGTTGGAGAACCAAGATCCTATAATCCTTTTGGTCAAAAGAGGAAAAAAAGAAGAGGGTAAATAACAGAACTTTTGGGGTGACTTCTAAGCCTGGGCCTCAGTACACTGTGCTCATCTCCCCTTAGAGTTTGCACCTGGATGGTTCGCTCCTCCCAGAGGCCCCAATGGGGAGATGATAGAACGTTTTACTTTATGTCTGAGCAGATTCAACAGAGACAGTATTAAAGTGAAGGGTATGTTCAAGCAGAATAAGTGACACCACCACCAAGAACTAAAAATAAAATATAAGACAATGCTTTTATTGTACATAGGATTTAAACTTCCTTGGAATGACAGAAATCACCTTACAAACTCAAGGCAGCCACGTGTTAGTTCTTGTCCCTGAACCAGCACCAGGCAGGGTGGCTTCTGGGGTCATGAACACTCAGCTTCTTCACACCACATGCAGCCACAGCTTCTGCCAATACAACCTGCTCCCCTACAAGGTCTCTACCCAAATCCACACATCTTTACAAAGTCCTTATTCTCTCCCTTCTTCTGCCCAGTCCCTCAGATGACACTTCTTATCCAGCCTTGGAGCAGTCCCAGTGCTTTGGGCTACAAGTCACGGGTCCCCCTCTGTAACTCCATCTGGGCAATTCATTCCCTACCTCTGTCTGAGATTCCTTCCCCAGTACAAAGTTTATGATGGTGCTATCTCTGCTCCCACAGCTGAGCTATTTGGGACTTATTCCTGTTCACCATCTTATTCCTTTCATCTCATTTCTCAATGTCAGATGGTGATCAACAGATCAGGAAGAGGATTTTCCTGATTTTCCAGGGAATGAGTGTGGACCTCGGGTTGTGGCTTATGTCCACAACTTCCCTGACCCCTTCCCACCAAGGCCCTGCATTTTCATCTCAGCCACAAGAAGGCATTGAGTGGTGTCAGGCATGGGTGTCACGCGCAGTCAGCTCATGAGGATGATGCAAATGACCCAGTGTCCCACAGGTCACAGATCATCCATCCACTTCACTGCCGCCCCTTCTCCCTAAGATGCTTTTTCCCTTTTTTTCCTCATTCACTATAATCATCTTTTGGTTTTATTTATTTATTTATTTTTGTCCACACCCTGAGGCATGTGGGATCTTAGTCTGCTGACCAGGGATTGAACCCACACCCCCTGCATTGGAAGCCTGGAGTCTTAACCACTGGACTGCCAGGGAAGTCCCACTATACCCATCTTTTAGACTTCCTCTTTCTAGAAAGCCATCCCCGACTCACCTCCTGCCTCCTAATGGGTTATACCCCTACTCTGGGCTGTCCTAGTGCCCAGATCAGACTTGTATCACAACACTGTGCTCTCCTTTCCTCCTTATATCTCTGTCTCTTCTCATGACCTCCTTCAGATACAGGACAAGTTTTGTGGGGATTTTATTGTTTATTTTTTTCTTTTCCTTTTCATGTCACCAGTGGCTACCATACTGCTTGGCTCATAATTAGCACACAACAAATATTTCCTAAGGATATGAGTAGATGAACTCTAATATTTTAGGGGAGAAAACAAGATGAAGAGAGGTGAGATGCCTAGTTTAAGATCATATAATAAGTTGATTACAAGGCTGGGTCTAGAATCCAAGCCTTCCTCACTCAAATCCAGTATTCCTACCTCTTACACAGTACTTCTGTGCCTGGTGGGGACAGGGGTGAGGAGGGCTGGCAGTGGTCTGAGTCCCATCCACCCAGCATTGAGGAAAGGGCTTGATCAGCAGACTGAAGGTCATCCCACCTTGTCCCTCTCCAAAGTCCCAACTCTATCACACATCATCTAAAGCAGTCATTTCAAATCTCAGGTGACCCATCCAGGGTCAAGTCCTTATGTCCTCTCTTTGAGCCCTGTGCTTAGGATAGGGTATCTGCACCCTCTTGGGAACTCAGGGAGAACTTGGACCCTCGGCCCCAGAGCCCAAAGAAGGGAAAGACCTTCTGGGTGAAGGAGGCAGTGAAGGTGTAAATGGGTTCCTGGGTGACGGCGTTGGCAAAGGTCACCCAGCCCACCTCGTAGTCGATGGACACCCGCACCTGCTGGGGCTGCTCCTCCAGGGTCAGGCGGGTGGGGAAGGAGCTCAGGGCTGAGACGAAGCCCCACGCCAGCCTCACCGCCCACACCCCCTCCTCTGGCCGCATCCGCAGCTCCCCCTTCCGGCGGATGTCCCTACTGACCACGCCCAGGGTGCAGCTGCCCCCGTGAGCCAAGTCCACACTGACCACCCACGTGTGTCTGCCCCCTGTGAAGCCACCGTGGGCCAGGACACAGGTGGCCCGGTCAAAACGCTGGGGGTTGTCCGGTGACTTCTGCCACTTGTAGGAGAAACGAGCCTGCTGGTAGTCCTCGGACAGCAGGAGCTTGGGGTGGGAAGTCCGGGGGTCTAGAGAGATGTGCGCTGTGGGGAAAACAAAAGGGATGCAGATGTCAGCAGACACACTATCACCTTCAAGAAAGGTCTAACAACTCCCCTTGGCATTCACGTTAGCATTACTCCCAACAACGTGTAAAGTGCCTATAAACAGGAGGCGTGGGTATCTTCTGGGAACTTGTTAGTAACACTCACAAGCTCCACCCCAGACCACCTGAGACGGAATCTGCATTTTAGCACAATCCATAAATGATTCCTGAACCTGTTAACGCCTGCTTCAGAGGATGTGTTCAGTTCAGTTGCTCAGTCGTGTCCGACTCTTTTCTGCGACCCCATGGAGTGCAGCATGCCAGGCTTCCCTGTCCATCACCAAATTCAGGAGCCAACTCAAAACTCATGTCCATCGGATCAGTGATGCCATTCAGCCATCTCATCCTCTGCCGTCCCCTTCTCCTCCTGCCCTCAGTCTTTCCCAGTATCAGGGTGGTGCTGATGCTGACTTTTCCAATGAGTCAGTTCTTTGCATCAGTTGGCCAAAATATTGGAGTTTCAGCTTCAGCATCAGTCCTTCCAATGAATATTCAGGACTGATTTCCTTTAGGATCTCCTTGCAGTCCAAGGAACTCTCAAGAGTCTTCTCCAACACCACAGTTCAAAAGCATCAATTCTTCGGCGCTCAGCTTTCTTTATAGTCCAACTCTCACATCCATACATGACTACTGGAAAAACCACAGCTTTGACTAGACAGTCCTTTGTTGGTAAACTAATGTCTCTGCTTTTCAATATGCTGTCTAGGTTGGTCACAGCGTTAGTTAGTTGGTTAGCGTGTTAGTTTGGACATGTGGGCTCTCATCTGGTTCTCTGCAGTCCCCTGAAAAGCACTTCTGCTGCCTGCAAACTGGCTGACGCCCAGAGCTGTGCATGCCTGCTCTCATCTCCTCCTCTGCTGACACATCACATCCTACCCCTCCTGTATCTCAGAGGGCGGGGACATCCCCCCTCCCCCCAAGTCCAAACTTCATGATCACTCCCTGGGCGCATATGACTCACCCACCCAGGCTTCTTCGCTCCTGTCCGGCTGCCTGACTCACCCGCGGGGTGTTCATTCTGCCTCAGTAATTCTACAACCAGGCCGTCTGAGGACCACTTTTTGACATCAAAACTTCTGCAGACCTTTGCATACTGTTACTTTTAGTATCCATAAGATGAGACAAATACATGAATTCTGTTATGTCTATGAATTAGAGTTGCTTCCAAGAACCCCATGACTTCCCAGCATCTTTGGCTGATAGACTAGGAACAATGACCTTGAGAGGGGTCCAGTCTTTATTACTTTCCTGCCCACAGGTTGCACTCCTATCATCCATGAAACAACACCTGAGAGTGGGGGGGGGGGGGTCCTGAAAATTCTAAGAATGCGATTCTAAATCCAGATTAAAGTTCCCCTCACCCAGGAAGCCCTTCCCGATAGACCTTGGCCCAGGCTGATTTAATCTTTCTATCTTGTCAAGTGCAGATCAGAACCTGAACTTCCTGTCAGGTATGTGGTATGAGTGTGTGAGTCTTCCTTCTTCATTGTTCTCCTGCAACCCTTATAAAGGCAACAACATGTATCACTGCCACGTGTGACATTATGTGTGCATGTATATTTATTAATATATATATGATATACATGTATTTGACTATTACATTGCCCAGTGTGGAACTCAGCAAAATTATCCATCCTTTTCAACTTTAGATTCCTCACTCCCTCCCATCCTGACAGAGGCAACTTACCTGGCTCATAATCCAACTCAAAGCTGAGTTTTTCTGTAAAGAGGAAGTAAAACAACATGCAATTTTATTAGTCTTACAAAACCACAGAACACTCACTGATGATACTGAGGCCCCAGGAAGGGAAGGGACAAAGAGAAGAATGGCAGGTGGAACCCTCTAGACCAGTGGTTCTGAACTTGAATTTGCATCAGAGCCCCAGGAGCACTTGTTTTTTATTCAAGTGGTCCAGGGTGGGGCCGAGATTTGCATTTCTGGCAAGTTCCCAGGGCATGCTGATGTAGGCTGGGACTTCGTTTTGAGCCTCACTGTCTAGCTCTGAGCAGGCAGAGACCATGTTTACCTTCAATGCCTCACACAGAGCCCAGGACCTAGTAAATCCTCAAGAAACATCTAGTTAATGAACAGATAAGTGGGCTAATTTGTCTCTCCTTCTGCTTGGAAATAATTTAGGGGAGAGTAAAAGGTCAGCCTTTGATGAGAGTAAAATTTCCTTCTCTGCTAGGCCACTTACTTGCAGGAAGTGGACTTGGGGAAAACTCTTCTAAGGTGACATTTCTTTGTGGGCAGGTCATTTAGAACTAGGTGGCATCATTCATGATGCCATGTAGGACGAGGGGGAGGTGTTGGCAGCAAGCCACATTTCTGACTCTCATTTCAAACCCTCCACGCCCTCACCTATCACTGCTGTCCCGGAAAAGGGGGTCATGGTCCCCATATGGGCAGTTCAACTCTGAGAACCAAGCTAATGGGGTGGAGGATGGGGGAAAGCCAGGGAAAGGAGGAAGGAAAGTCAGCTACCACAGAGCACAGAAAAATACTCTCAGTGGTTATTAATTAACAATTATAAAAAAAGCTTATCATATATCACAAATGCCCCTGTGGCTTTTTAAAATTATTGACAGTGACCAATTTTGTTATTCATTATCTTACATGTCACTTCATGACAAATGATTAGATCGGTTTCACTCTTTTTCAAAATAGTTATATTTTTCTGGAAAGCTTCAGCTTTATTATCTCACTTCATTGTCACATTATTCTGAAAGCAGATTTTATAAAGATTGGCAAATAAGGAAAACAAGGCACTGGAAAGGCTTGAGCCTTGTCAAAGGTCACACAAGCATAGGGAAGCAGGGCATGGAGGCCATTCGTAAGCCCAGGCTTCATGGCCACCTGTGTTCCATGGGGTCCTCTTACCCAGAAACAGCTTCATCTCCCTCCGCAGCGGGAAGGTTTGCTGGGGGAAGTCCCGAATCCTCTGGCCCAGCTCTGGAGATATAGCCACTGGTTTCCGGCACCTTCTGGTTTCACATCTAGGGGCACAGAAATGGTGGGGTCTGGGCTTTATCCTCCTTAGCGATGCCCCCAGACTCAGTTGGTCATCTTCTTCTAACTGAGCTCAGAGGTGCCAGTCCCCATGGGCAGACATCATTCCTCTAGGATGGACCACCTTCCTCTCCTCACTGCCCACTCTCGGGTAATGCCATGCTGGGTGTGTATCTATGGTTATACATGGAAATGCAGTTGAGGATGTGAAAGTTTACATGTGAGTTTTATCTGTAATGTGAGAATGTATGTTTGTTTGGCAATAACCAGGCATGTGCTGCCTGTCTGTTTATGTATGTGGGGAAAGAAGAGACAAACTTACCTGATTAGAGTGCTTCTGATATCCTAGGAGAAAGAGAGAAAGCAGAGATTTGGTTTCCACTTCTCCTTCCCACAAGAAAAGACAAAAATACCATATTCTCAGTCCTAGATAGAAAAAGGACACCAGATCCATGGGGTCGCAGCATTTTAGGGTTTATGAGGCTTCAGGGATCTTGGAGCCCAAATCCTTTATTTTATAAGATGCAGACAGTGAAGTGACCTGGCCCTTAGAGGCAAAGACAAGTCCCATCCCAAGGTCACCTGCTTCTCAGTCCCAACTGTGTCCCGCTAAGTCATGCTGTCTTTGTAATGCCGTATTGGGACCCCAGTATCTCTCCTCCAGCAAGACAAAGTGAAATAGACTAGAAAGAACTTCCTGACTGGAGGGTGGTGACACAGAGAATGGTTTGCCTTGCAAATAGCACCTGACATTTGTTGGCATAGTGCATGATGCTTTTCAAAATGCTACTTTCACTTGCATTTTACTGTGGGGTCCTCACAAATAAATAAAGTATTTGTGAGATAAATAAAGTATCTTCCCTATCTGAAAGGATGGTAGGATGAAGAGATCACAATCTGGGAGCAAAGTGACCAGGAGCTCTGGGGGAAGCAAGGACTCTTAGAATTCAGAACTTCTGGTCCTGTGACCTATCTTTCACTTGGGGTACAAAGATCTGTGAGTGAAGAGATGGCTCAGATGGTAGAGATGCCACAAAGCCTAGGTGAGCACAGCTGGGTGGGGGCGGGCTCAGGTCTCACCGTCAGGAGCTCCCTCGCCGGCCTCTCCTTCTTCTCCTCCAGTTCCTCAATGAGGGTGTTGAACCGGCCGATCTCCCCAGTGACCAGGACATCAAACTCATCCCGATGCTTCAGGATGTCCTCATCCAGCTTCTCCAGCTGGGCTAGGAGGATGCTCTGCTGCTCTTCCAGGAACTGACTCAGATGTGCAAACTCAGAAATCACCTTTTGTTTCTTGGTGGCCACCTGAGTCTGAGAGGACAGGAGAAGAAAGAGGCCAGGAAGTTATTCCTCCTCTTCTTCCCCTTCCTTTTCCTTCTTTTTCCTTAATTCACTCCCGTCTCCCTCCTGGCCCAGATCCACATGTTCCAAGGTTTGGTGGTAAAGTCAGAGCCCCCAGTCTCCAGGTCCCCAGACAGACTTGAAACCATGGCATGGTTTCCTTTCCACCTGCCCTGCCATTCCTGGGATGGGGTGAGGACACCCTACCTCCTGCCGTTTACCAAATGCACACAACGTGTGTGTCACTGAGGGACAGTCGTTACAGCAAGTCAGTGAGATAATGACGATTTTTAATCTTCACTTCACAGAAAAATAAACTGAGCATAGAGAGCTGTTTGAGGTCATAGAGCTAGCTTGTTTCAGGATTCAAACTCAGAAGGACTTCAAAGCCCCTATATGAGATGTTGCCTTGGTTTCAAATAGTCACTGGAGCCGAAGGAAGGCAAGAGGGCCAGGGAAGGAATGATGACCTACCAGGAGGACTTGTATCCTTCGATTTTCCCTGGACTGAATTTCTTGAATCTCCTCTCTCTCTTTTCTTAGACACTCAAGACACTTCTGTATTTGTTCCTGGAAAGAAGGTGCATAAAATATCTAAGATGGAGGTGGGGGAGGGATAAATTAGAAGTTTGGGATTAGCAGATACAAGCTACCATATGTGAAACAGATAAACAACAAAGACCTACCATACAGCACAGGGAACTAAATTCAATACCTTGTAATAAATTATAATGGAAAAGAGTCTGAAAAAATTTGAATCACTTTGTTGTACACTAGAAACTAATACAAAGCTGTAAATCAATGATACTTCAATTAATTTTTTAAAATATTTAAGATGGAAATAATGATTTAAGAAGTGTCATCTCTGTCTTCTGGAATAGGAAGGAGTTGGGTCTCAGCTGACAAAGCCTGGGCTCTTATTGTCCTTAACAACTGACTCTCTTTGGGTCTTTTTCCTCTTGTTTGGCCCTCCAAGAATTTTGATCAGGGCTTTCCCCCCTTTAACCTGCGCCATTATAGGCTATGATTCCATGTTCCCACCTGAGCCTTCCTGTTATCAGGCTGTGTGAGCGTGTGTGCTCAGTCGCTCAGGCTTGACTGACTCTTTGCAAATTTATGGACTGTAGCCCTCTAGGCTCCTCAGTACCTGGGATTCTCCAGGCAAGAATACAGGAGTAGGTTGCCATGCCCTCCTCCAGGGGATCTTCCCAACTCTGAGATCGAACCCTCATCTCCTGTGTCTCCTGCATTCAGGCAGATTGTTTACTGCTGAGCCACCGGGGAAGCCCTGTCATCAGGCTAAACACACTCTAATTTCTTTTGCCTTTAATAAATGGTATCTAGGGTCTGTCCTGAATTTGATATGCCCTTCTTTGAAATTATCCTAACTTTCTCACATATCGCAAGAGGAACACCTCCAAACAACCTCTGTTATGAGTGGAATCAACTTTCTGAGTATGATCTGGAGGGAACATGAAACAAGGATAATGCAAAAAATAATCAATGACTTGTTTTAAAAACTGCTTGTTCTTGGGGACTTCCCTGGTGGTCCAGTGGTTAAGACTTTGTGCTTCCACTGCAGGGGGCACAGGTTCAATCCCTGGTTGGTGAACTATTAGTAAGATCCCACAGGTCACACAATGTGGCCAAAATATCCTCCCAAAACAAATAAACAAAAAATTTCCTGCTCTAGAGAAGAGTTAGGAACAGTCATACACATATAAATGCCATAAAAGTACACTGCAAAATATATTTAGAACTCTTACCAATACATGCTAATTAACTGAGCCATACACACAGACATCTACTTGTAATAAAACAAGATGCATAAACAACTAAAACCAGCATACACTCATTTAATGATAGAGAAAATTACACACTATATGTATCTACCCAACCTGCATATATGTAAACACTAATTTACTCACAAACATGAGCACTCAGTTACACATACACACTCAAACTGTCAGATCCCCCCAAACACACTGCATCCACTGGGAAATGTGCAAACATTAATACTAATACACACTATGCAATCACTTCCTCAAGTGCAAACCCAGACATCCTCAGACACACCTGACTGATCCAGGGCCCAGACACACATGCTCGTGTTTTGGTGACTCATTCATTCAACATGTATTTGTTGAGCTACTATTATGTGTTGGCCATAAGGAAACGATAAAGGACATGCTTAAAACATAAACACGTGATCTTGCATACCTGGGCCTGTTGCCTGGCTGATGATAAAATAGAGAGTGGCCCAAATTATCCACCCCTCTGCTCTGCTTCTTTCAGTCTAGTCCCATCGGAGACCCACCCCCGGAAACCTCAGTTTCCCCTTCGTACCCGGTAGGGCCCCGCTGCATCCTCCAGGAAGCGCACGGTGTGGGCGCGGTGCTCCCAGGCCTCCCGGCACACCACGCACAGCTGCATCTCATCGTCCTCGCAGAAGAAGTAGACTTTCTCCCCGTGCTCGGGGCAGACGTCCTCCTCGTCTGAGTCCATCTGGGACACCAGCTTGAGACGCTCGATGTTCTCCACCACGTTGGCCAGCTGCCAGTTGGGCCGGAAGTTCCCTGGACGGAAAGGCTCCTTGCAGAGTGGGCAGGTCGGAGGCTCCTCGGGGTCCGGGCTGGTGATCTCCAGGTAGCGGGTGAGGCAGACTCGGCAGAAGTTGTGGCCACAGTCGATGGTGACCGGTTCTCTGAGGGTCCCTTGGCAGACGGGGCAGTTGACCTCATCTGCCAGGCTGGTCACCGAAGCAGCTGAGGCCATGGTGCTGCTGCTGCTTGTGACCTCTTCAAGGTCACCCTCTCTTCGCGACTTGGGGGGCAGGGCTGGGAGAACAATGAGGACACACAGCGCACACTCACACACCCACGTGCACACACGGCCAGACACAGGGGCATCCTACATACCCAGTGACAGCCTCATGGTCACACACATACACACCTGCACTTGCACACAAGAGCAAGGAACCCTCTTGCATGTCTGGCAGCCAGGGTTCTGCTTCCCCCCTCCCAAAGGAACAGACACACACCTCCAATGGCAGAGACAGAGAAATAGCAGAGGAGGGGGAGAAGAAGGGGTGACAGCCTCCCAGAGATGACCTCAGTTACTGTCTGAGCTGGTGCTCGTGACCAGCAGGTTGCTGCTTCGTCCCGTCCATCCAGAGACACTCGAGGTAGAAGGAAAGCATCTTAACCACCCACGGGTGGAAGAGACTGTTCTTCTTTGGGGAGCAGGAGGGAGACTGGTCACAGAGCAGTGATGCCACCCAGCCTCCCTGCAGTAGGACCAGCTGTCTCCAGGGAGATTGAAGGTATCAGCCAACCCAGGGGAGTGTGGGGACCCAGATAAGGGTGTTGTGCCCTGGGCGGGGGCAGTGGATCAGGGCACAAGCAACTTCACCTGTGATGCTCCAACCAGCCTGCCGTCGGCTGCCCAAGGGGTTGGAATGTACTCTGTGTGGGGGAGGAGAAAGAAAAATAACACCAGCCAGCATTTATTTACGATAACCATATTCCTCATGCTGACATAAGCAGTTTAAACATGCCATCTTATTTATTCCTCCAGTCTGCTCCGTAACGTCAGGGCTGTTAGGATATTAGCTGGGCTCAGCCAGGTTACTTAGCTTACTCAAGGCACACAGGTAGGGAGGTGAGAGGCCATAATTTGCACTCAGATTTGTGAGTCTCAGAGCCATGCTGTCCAACAGAAATACCATGTGAGCCACACATGGAATTTTAAGTTCCCGTAAGCCATATTTTTTTAATAAGTGAAACTAATTGTTGTTGTTCCGTCACTCTGTCGTGTCCAACTCTTTGTGACCCCAAAGACTGCAGCACGCCAGGCCTCCCTATCCCTCACCATCTCCTAGAGTTTGCTCAAGTTCATGTTCATTGCATCAGTGATGCCGTCCAGCCATCTCATCCTCTGACGCCTTCTTCTCCTTCTGCCCTCGATCTTTCCCAGCACTAGGGATTTTTCCAGTGAGTCGTCTGTTCGCATCAGATGACCAAAACACTGGAGCTTCAGCTTCAGTGTCAGTTCATATTCAGTGTCAGTGAATATTCAGGGTTGATCTCCCTCAAGATCGACTGGTTTGATCTTGCTGTCCAAGGGACTTAAAGGAGTCTTCTCCAGCCCCACAGTTCAAAGGTATCAATTCTGCCTTCTTTACAGTCCAGCTGTCACAACAGTACGTGACCACTGGAAAGACCATAGCTTTGACTATACAGACTTTTGTCGGCAGTGTAATGCCTCTGCTTTTCAATACATTCTCTAGGTTTGTCATCACTTTCCTGCCAAGAAGCAATCATCTGATTTCAAGGCTGTAGTCACCATCCACAGTGATTTTGGAACCCAAGAAGAGGAAATCCGTCACTTCTTCCACCTTTGCCCTTTCCATTTGCCATGCAGTAATAGTGCCGGATGCCATGATCTTAGTTTTTTTAATATTTAGTCTTAAGCTGGCTCTTCCACTCTTCTCCTTCACCCTCATCAAGAGACTCTTTAGTTCCCCTTCGCTTTCTGCCATTAGAGTGTTGTCATCCACATATCTGAGGTTGTTGATGTTTCTCCTGCCAATCTTGATTCCAGTTTGTAACTCATCCAGCCCAGTGGTTTTCATGATGTGCTCAACATACAGATTAAACAAGCAGGGTGACAGGAAACTAATATTTAGCCCCAAATAGTACCAACGTGTGTAATCCATAGAAAAAATTAGTCATGAGACGTTTTATATTCTTTTTATTTGGTGCTAAAGTCTTTGAAGGGGCTTCATTGGTGGCTCAGTGGTAAAGAATCCACCTGCCAATGCAGGAGACATGGGTTCCATCCTTGGGTCATGAAGATCCCCTGGAGAAGGGCATGGTAACCCACTCTAGTGTTCTTGCCTGGAGAATTCCATGGACAGAGGAGCTGGGCAGGCTAGTAAACAACAAAGTCTGAAATCAGGGCGTATTTTACACATATGGCACATTTCAGTTGAGACCAGCCACGTTCAATGCCCAACAGCCTTGGGCATTTGGAGGCTCTTGTGCTGGACAGCGCAGCTCCAGGGACTGCACTCTTGGGGGTAGAGGGTGTAGGTGGGGGGAAGGGAAGTCGATACACGAAGTAGCTGGAGTGGAAAGGGAGTGAGACAGGGTGGAGGGCTGATCTCCAGTGGGATGTTGGGAGGCGTTTTCCTTGGTTTTGTGCACAGATGCATGTGAGCGGATGAAGACCCATGACTGTCTGATCCCCTTGTCCTGACTGGGAGTTCAGGAAGGGCACACGGCTAGAAGCCGGGAGACTTGAGTTGACTGCAGCCTTGCAGCTTTCTAGCTCTGTGACTCAGGAAAAGTCACTTTACCTTTCACTTTACATTTCCTGTAATCATCACCTGCCCTCAAGGGCTGTTATCAGATTGGATGTAATAATATGAAAATACTAAGCCTTAGATAAATGTGGTTGAACCTGTTCATCTTTTTTTTTTATTAATTGAGTTTTCTAAATTGTATCAACACAGATCACTTATATTATGTTTTCTTGCCTTCTCCTTGCTGCAGTTAAAAGCTAAAATGGAAGTACAGTGTTACCTCCGGTGGGGATGCTGATGCTGGGAGGTGGTGGGGGCAGGAGTTTAGGAAAGACCAGCCAGAGTCAAGGAGGTGAGACAGGAAAGGGGGGCAGAGGAGGGGACCAGGTGAGCGATCATCACACCTGCAGCATTGAGCAGAGCCCCCGAAACAATGTCCCGGAAGTGAGCACTCCCACTCCGGCTGGACTTTGCCGCTGTGTGCACACCTCAGAGCCAGAACTTTATGGCTCCCACCTGCTCAGCCGGACAGGAAGCAAGGTCTCCTCCCCAACTCTCCCCACCCCACAGCGGTCAAGGGAAGGATTCCAGGAAACCCTATCTCCCTGTGACCTCATGGGGTGCGCTATGTTCCCCACCCCAAGGGCGGGAAAGACCAGGACGAGGGGAGAAGGCGCTGCCGGGGCCGCTGTCGGGGAATGCTGGGTAACTCGAGATGCCCTGGAGTTTGAACCCACTCAGCTGATAAGTGGTGGCCGGGACTCTGGGAAGCACAAGAGGTGGAGCCCGGTGGCTTTTCTGTCCGGACACCCCTGCTTCCCCTCTCTCAGCCTCCCATTCCTTTCCTCTGTGACTCATGTAAAGTGATTCAATTTCAGGGAAAGAGGTTCATGTGGACTGAGGCAGAGGCCTGAGAGGACGGGCTGGGGAAGACACCGTGATGCCCTCGACCCCCTCCCGCAAAGGGGCCGCCTGTTCCAAGTGCAAAGGGCCCCTGGAGGATGCAGTGACCGCCGCCTGCGGACACACCTTCTGCCAGCTGTGCTTTCCTCCGCCCTCCCAGATGGGGGCCCAGCCCTCCGGCAGGGTCCTGCTCTGCGCCCTCTGCAAGGAGAAGGAGCCGAGCGAGACCCTCCTGGTCCCCATGCCCCTGGGCCCTCTCGGGGAGACTTACTGCGAGGAGCACGGCGAGAAGATCTACTTCTTCTGCGAGAATGACGCCGAGTTCCTCTGCGTGTTCTGCCGGGAGGGTCCCTCCCACCAGGCCCACGTCGTGGGCTTCCTGGACGAGGCCATCCAGCCTTACCGGGTAAGAGGCGTGGGGTCAGCTCGGGCCATCTGGGGCAGGACAGTGTCCCGAGGTGGTGAAGGGGATGGAGCCGAGAGCTCCAGGAAGAGCCATGGCTGGATATGGCCATGGTCCGTATCAGGAGACCAACCAAGGCTGCTGGGACCTGGGGCAGCCCCAGGCTGAGTGGGACATGGTTCCTTCCACTTGGATGTGTGGCCGTTCACAGTCTTGGAGAATTTCAGCTCCAGCCCTGAGGGGACCCCACAGTGATGGGAGCACAGAGCATTGTAGCCACGGCTTCACTGGGAAGGAAAGCGAGCAGCTGTCCTCCTGCAGGTCACGGGCAGGGTGGCCTTGGTCTCCCCGGATCCAGACTGGGAATGGGATCTAGCGGCCCTGACGGCTGGGGCTCAGAGGGAAGGCAGGATGGGAGGGCATCCTACAAGCGCTGCTCTTCTTTTCAAGAAGCGGGGTGTGGCAGTACAGTAGTCCCTCTGGTCCTGGAACATTATCTACTCCTGTCTGCTCGCAAGTCCCTCTTGTCACCCAGTCACCAGGCCTGGAAGTGGCCTCCCTGGAGCCATCTCTCATCTTTCCCGAGGCATTATCCCCAAAACCACCACAGAATCCAGGCTGTCCCTGTCTGTCACAGAGGCTCCATCAAGGGCCCTGTCTGAGCTCTCACCTTTCCGGTCACCCTCCAGTCTGCTATGAGGCAGAGCCTCCCAAATCACAAAGCCCATCATGTCGCTCCCCTGCTCACAACTGTCCTGTAGATCCTGATTCTGTGTCTGAAGAAAGCCTGTGCCGTTAGCTTTCAAGGCCACTTGCATTCAGGATCCTGCCTTTATCTGCCAGCTACCTTCTCCAGGCACAGTGTGTCCAGACAGACTGACCATTATGTACCTGCTGTTTGCTCAATTAACGCTCTTTCCTGCTTCTAATACTTTTCAGTAGTTTCTTCTTCTTGGAAAGCTTTCCATTCCCCTTACTCTTTTTTTCCCCCGTTAGTGTTTTTTTTTTTTTGTACTGGGGTATAGCCAACTAACAATGTTGTGATAGTTTCAGGTGAACAATGAAGGGACTCAGCCATAGACATACATGTATCCAGTCTTCCCCAAACTCCCCTCCCATCCAGGCTGCCACATAACACTGAGAAGGGTTCTGTGTGCTATACAG